TGATGGATTCAGGATTTGCTTTCAGGTATTTTGATAGCTGTTGGAGTGGTTAGAATCAGTCAGTTCCCTCTCAAAGAAAAAAAAAAAAAAAAAAAAAAACCCTCTTTGGGTTTTTTAAATGAAACACACTATCTAAAGATTCAAAGCTTAGTACCCACTCAGGATGATTGTTTTCAGCTCCATCCATTTACCTATGGCTATCATAATTTCATTTTTCTTAACATCTGAATAATATTCACTGTGTGAATGTACCACATTTTTATTATCCATTCATCAGTTGATGGTCATCTAGATTGTTTGCATTTTCTGGCTGTTGTGGATAGAACAGCAATAAACTTGGATAAGCAAATATCTCTTTTGTAGGATACAGAGTCCTTTTGGTATATGCCCAAGAGTGGTAGAGTTCGATCATGTACTAGATCTGTTTCTAGCTTTCTGAGCAACCTGTGCAATGGTTTCCATGGTAGCTGTATGAGTTTGTACTCCCATCAGCAGTGAATAGTGTTCCCCTTTCCTACAGCCAACACCAGCATTCGTTGTCATTTTTATTTTTAATCTTAGCCATTCTGATTGGGTAAGAAAGTAGTTTTGATTTGCATTTCCCTGGTGGCTAATGATGTTGAACATTAAAAAAAAATGTTTCTCAGCCACTTGTATTTAATCGTTTGAGAACTCTCTGCTCCACTTTTTAATTCGGTTGATTGTTTTCTCAGTGTTTAATTTTTTTAGTTCTTTGTATATTCTAGATACTAACTGTTCATCAGATGTATAATTGGTAAAGATTTTTCCCATTCTCCAGGCTGCCTCTTCACTCAAATGATGGTGCCCTTTAATGTACGGAAGCATTTTAGTTTCATTTGATTCATTGGTCAGTTGTTGGTCTTAATACCTATGCTATAGGAGTCCTGTTCAGAAAGTCCTTTTCTGTGCCTATAAGTACTAACTCTTCCCTACTTTCTCCTTTATCAGATTCAGGGTATCAGATCTTATGCTGAGGTCCTTGATCCATTTGGAGTTGAATTTTGTGCAGGATGAGAGAAAAAAAAAATCTAGTTTCATTCTTCTACATGTCAAACCCAGTTTGACCAGCACCATTTTTTTTGAAGATGCTGTCGTTTCTCTGTGTATTTTTGGCCTCTTTGTAAAAAAATCAGATGGCTGTAGGAGTTTAGGTTTATACATGGGTCTTCAATTTTATTCCATCGATCAATGTTTCTGTTTTTATGCTAGTATCATGCTGTTTTTATTATTATAGCTCTGTAGTTTAACTCAAAATCAGGGATAATGATATCTCCAGCATTTCTTTTATTGTTCACAACTGTTTTGATTTTCCTGGGTCTTTTGTATTTTCATGTGAAATTTAAGATTATTTTTTTCAATTTCTCTGAAGAATTGTGTTGAAATTTTAATAGGGATTGTGTTGAATCTGTAGATCTGTCTTAAAATTCCTGTTATGTAGGTCTTTCACTTCCTTGGTTAGATTTATTTCAAGATATCATAAATGCATATATATATGTAGATATTTGAGGCTGTTATGAAGGGAATCCCTTTCCTGATTTATGTCTTGGTATGCTTGTTGTTAGTATGTAGGAAGGCTACTGATTTTAGTCTTTTATTTGTATCCTGTTACTTTGCTGAGTATTATGTCTGATATTTATATATCTTAAATACCAACCACAGATTCTCATAATCTGCACACCATGAGCATTCCTGATCACTTCACCCTTGTTTGTGTTATTCTATTGTATGTTACCCTTAACTCCTTACCCTGAAAAATTGTCTATTTTTCTGGTACCCCAAAAGTCAAGGAAATGGGCTTATCTCATCAAATGTTAGACTCATATATTTGACATAGTTTGGAATAGAAAGAACCCCAAAGGCTATTTATTCAAGGTTTATTACTTTAAACATTTAGAAGCATAGCCTTCTGAGTCTTAGTACACTGCGGGTAGCAAACATTCATGTCACCAATGAGAAGACATTATAGCTATGCCTTAATACTAACTGGCCACTACCTGCAGTTCATCAAATCATAAGCTTTTGTGCATATTCCCCTGGTCCCAGGCTAGAGGTTAAGCCAACAAAATCTATGTTTCTACTCAGATCTCTTCCTCCTTGTGTCCTTGCATAATACGTAAATCTAGTGTCTGTGAATAGAGTCTAATGGAATTTTTTTTAAGTTAAATGGGTTTTCATCTTAACTTCGTGCTATTTGGAAATATATTTACCTCATCTTAAACACTAGCTTTTAGGATTTTTTTCCATATAAATATCAGTTCTGAAAAAATTTTGCTAAAGATATTTTTCTTTCTGTTTCAGATGAGCAGGTTGTTATGGGCAACAAACTTCTGGTATATATTAGGTAAGATTCTAACTTTCCTTAAAGGCTTGACCTATTGCAGCCATTTCCTGGACATTTATTATAGCTCATTCCCCATTTTCAACTACCATTCATAAAACCTTTTGTTTAAAGTCTCTGAGAATATCATGTCTCTAATAGGCAAATCATAGCTGAATGGTGCCAATAGGCTCTTTCTAGATGCCAAATCTGAGGCCTTTAGATGGAGTGTCCTCACTCCTTCCTGCCCCTTAGTGCAGTATGCAGAAATGGAGCTTGGCAGTTACATAATGAGGAACACTCCACTCCCCCACAGTTTCTGACTGGGTATCATTAAAATTTTTTTTCTTTTCACTAATACATGAAGCATAAAAGTATACATGCACACACACACACACACACACACATATATGCTACCATGTGATATTTTTGATAAATGTAAATATTGGGTAATGTTCAAGTCAAAACTAAAAAACATGTCTCTTCAAGATTTGTATTTCATGGAAAAAATACTTTTGTTAGAACATGGGCCTGCATCTTTAGGTTTACCCCACATCCTGAATCAGACTATGCTTCCCTGAAGCTCTGCCTGTGACAGATTCTTAAGAAGGAGTCTGTGCTGTGACTTGACAGCTCTCAGTTGTGGTACCGGGGTCCTCCATGCTCCTTGTCACAGATGCTATACTAAACTAAATCACATGAGGTGAAACTTCCTGCCATCCCTGAAAGGTTATAGAAAGTCAGACCTTTCCTCTGGGGATTGGTCTGAGACGTCTCATGGAGACTGCTCTGGGATTTGGTCTGGAGATGAAGGCTGCTTTTTGAAGAGGTGCCCCCTTTTCCCACCACCCCTCTCATGGTCTTTTTCTCTGTTTCTCTCTGTCTCATTCTCATTCTCATTCTCATTCATTCTCTCTCTTTTTAAAAAAATTTATTTCTACTTTGAGTATTACCGCATGTATGTACATGTACCATGTTGTGCAATGCCCACAAAGGACAGAAGAGGGCATCAGATCCCCTGGAACTGGAATTACAGATGGTTGTTAGCTGCCATGTGGGTGCTGGGATTCAAACCCAGGTCTTCTGCAAGAGTAGCCAGTGCTCTTAACCACTGAGCCTTCTCTCCAGCTCCTCATTTTCACTCTTAATGAATCATCTTTCTAGTCTTTAAAGGGAAAGAGAGGCTCTCCTTCCCTTCAAAGGCCCATCATTTTTAGATATCTCTTATAGTGTATTATTTCTGTCTAATGCGCTTACTTGTACCTCCAGCCCAGTTGTGGTCTTGAGGCCCTTTCATAGTAATAAACCTTAGTCCTGAAGGGAATTTCTGGGTCAGTTTCTTTTGCAGAATGACTGCTGTAGCCTTTTTCTCATGTTTTTAAAACATCTTTCTTCTAGTCTTTTAAAATATACACTACACTATTGTCTTAGTTTGTTTCTTCATTGCTGTGACAAAACACTCTGACCAATACCAACTTGGGGAGGAAAGGGTTTATTTATCTTACATCTCCTAGGTTGCAGTTCATCAGGGAGCCCAAGGTAGGAACTCAGGGCAGGAACCTGGAAGCAGGAGCTGGAGTGCAGGCCATGGAGGAATGCTGGTTCCTGGCTTGCTCCCCTGGCCCCTCCTGCTTTCTTATGCAACACAGGCCCACCTGCCCAGGAGTGGTAGCACCCACAGTGGGCTGGGCCCTCCCACATCACTCATCAAGAAGATGCCCCTCAGACATGGCCACAGGCCAGTCCAATAGAGGAAATTCCCCAATTGAGGCTCCCTCAACCCAGGTGTGTCAAGTTGACACTAAAGCTATCCAGCACAACTATCCTCTGTTAGTCACCCATCTGTACAATAGCAGTGATCTGCTTTTGAACCTGACCCGAGAAAAGCAGAGTCTGCTTCAAGATCAAAGTAGTATCTCCAGTTTGAAGAGATACTACTTGAAGTGATACCCTTGTAAGTCATCAGATCTGCTCTCATTTTTTTTTTCTAGCTGTTGCCTGGCAGGCCGTGCCTATCCACTTGATGACATCCCTGAAGATCTTGTTCCCTTGGTTAAAAACCAGGTTAGTATTGTTTTCACTGTCTACATCTTTTAAGATGACTGAAGACAAATAGCAGTTGAACATTACCTGTAGCTTAGGAACTAACTATTCATGAGGAAGGGAGCCAACCGTGTCACTGAAGTCATCATTTTAGTTAGGAGAGGATTTAAGAGAGGCTTTGTGTAACCCAGTAGCAGTTTAAAATGAATTCAGCCAGCCTTTGTTTTTTCCAAATGGCAATCATTGCCTCAGCAGGATGCATTGAAATGATAGACAGTAATGAACAGTTGCCTTTTTAACCTGCAGGTGTTTGAATTTCTGATTCGGCTGCATTCTGTCGAAGCTCCCCCTGAGGAAGAAGTCTATCCTTATGTTCGAACTTTGCTACATTTTGACACAAGAGAATTTCTAAATGTATTGGCACTGGTAAGGGATAGTGTGATTTTAAGGTATTTTCAAAGGCGTCAAAGTGATCTTTATTTTGTTTAAGTAGGAGGAAAAAAAGAACCCCTAATGATACTTGAGCAAGTAAGTTAAGATTTCCATTGTTTCAGATTGTTAAGCCTCTTAGTGTCCCTGTTTGTAGCTCTTTGCTCCCCTTTCTATCTATCTCTCTCTGTGTCTCTCCTCAGAAAGTTGAAGTTTTTTAAAGCTTTTGATTAGATGTGATGCAATCTCTGATTTCATAAATTTCCCAACTTACTCAATATGGATGAGACTCTAAGGAAGACATAATAATAATGGAAATAGCTGAAGTTGAAGTGAACTGTGGAAACGTCCTGCTGAAAAACAGCCTAAAGTGTGTTTAATTAGAGGTGAAATTGGATGAACTGGGTTTTCTGTCCCTAGGGGGATTATTATATAAGATACAGTGAATCTTCCCAATTAAATAGTATTGCGCTGTAGGTTTTTGTTAGTTTTTTTTGGGGGGAGGGGTCTTTTTGACAGGGTCTCTATGTAGCCCAGCTGGCCTGGAACTCACTTTGTAGACCAGGCTGGCCTTCAGCTCATAGAGATCCAGCTGCCTCTGCCTCCCAAGTGCTGGGATTAAAGATGAGCACCACCACGCCCAGCTTTGTGCTATAGGTTTTTAAAAAGCTTTTGGGAAAATAGAAAATGCTAGTGCAGTTGTGTTTAGTGAAACCATCAAAATGATAATTATGTAAAATGCAAATTTACATACAATATCTGGAGAAATGAGACAAAAAGATATACTTGTGTTAACAGTGGTTAACTCTGAGAATGTGCATATTTTCTTGTGTGCACACACTACTTTTATAAGTTAGGTAATATAATCTGTTAAATTATGTTAAGATCAGTGCAATATTAAAGTAGCTGAAGAAACATTCAGTATATATCTGGTTCTTTAAATACAAGAAAAATACAGAGAGAAATGAATGCAGAGATATAGGCAGACTCTGAGTCTTATATTCTAAGGTAAGAAATTTGGGTTTCATACTACAATAGCAGTTAGCCTTTTAGAAAGAGAAATGTTAGGATTTGTACTTCGAAAAAAATCCCTTTCAACTCTTGTGTCTTGGTCAGTTTGGGCTGCAGTTGCAAAATACTGTAGACTGATTGGCTTATAAACAATAAAAAATTATTTTTCATACTTTGGAGACTGGGAAGTCCAAAATCAGAGCAGAGCAGAGGGTACTGTCCTGATTCAAAGCTCGTGCTTCCTTTCTGTGTCCTCACTGGCCAGTCTGTGGTAAGAATTCTAGTCCCTTTCACAAGGCCTCTGTTCCTGACCTAATCACATCCCAGAGGCCCCGCCTCCTAACACTATCACATTGATGATTTTTGGGGACTACAAACATTTTCACCATAGCATATGGGAAATAGATTGAAATGAGGTGAGATTGAAAGAGAGCTCTATTATCAAATTACTATGAACATTTGCCAGGAGATAATGATGGCTTGAATTAGGACAGTGACACTGTGGGAACCACAAGGATTAGAAAGATGCTTTAGAAAGGAAGTCAGTCTCCTAAAATGTAGGACTTACTGTCTATGAAAGATAAGATGTCTTTACAGATTCCTAGACTTCTACTTGTTGGAAAGTTTTGGCCTGATGAACTAGAATTATAGTGGTTTATTTTGGTCAAAGAACTGAATTCTTATATACCACAATAGGAACATTAGAAAACAGTTTGTGTTTCTTATGAAGTTAAGTGATGATTTTAGTAAATAACTCAGCAATTCCATTCTTAGGTATTAATTCAAAATAAAATAGGTCCACACATGAAATGAAGTGGTTTCTAAAATAGATAGCATTTTTTGATGGTACTCTGCTATTTTGACTTTCTTACTTTAACTTATTTCGGCATCATCTTGTTAATCCTTGCTAAGCCTTGCCCACTGAGCTGTAAAGGAGCATTCCCCTTTCTCAAGTATTTTGTTCTTTTCCAAAATCCTGTCTGACCAGGACTTCTGATCCATACTTCCTTGATCCCTACCTTAGCTCCTTATTTCCTAACTCAGGATGAACTTCGATATCTGGAAGTGAATTCTATGTGATATCATAGATCTGCAACCACTAGAGCCTTGGCATAATCTTTTGTCTTAGAAATAGCCCTATCCTGACTTCTTTACGGTGTTCTTTTGAACTAACTCTGCTAATTTGGGATAATTATTTTCCCATTTATATGTAATTTGAAATATGTGATATTTGTTTTCATTCTAATTTTGCCTTTTAACATGGCACTGTGAATGATTCTTAATTTTATTATACAAGGATCTTTAGAGGCTTGTATGAGGAGATCAGGACAGGGTCCTGCAAACAATAGTCTAGTGACTAAATCCAGCCCTATGGCCAAGAACCTATTGTATAAGCTAAGAATGTTCACATTTTCAGGGTTATAAAAAGGAAGTAATCCCAGCACTTGGGAGGCAGAGGCAGGTGGATCTCTGTGAGTTTGAGGCCGGATCTCTGTGAGTTCGAGGCCAGCCTGGTGTCTAGGACAGCTGGGGCTACGGGGAGACCCTGTCTCAAAAGACCGAAAAAAAAAAACAAAAAAAAAACAGGAAGTAAAGGAAGAATATGTGACATAGACCACATGTAGCCCACAAAGCTTGGAATATTCACTAACAGGCCCTTTCTACACAGCATGTTAATTGATCTTGGGTGAGGGCTTACCTTGTCATCATTTTCATCCAGAACCTCATAATAATCTTTAAGGGACTAAACTTTTCAGGCCCAAATTCACAGATGACTTTGAACTTGTGTTTCAGATCTACATTTGTACACCATAAACAGCAATCCTCTACTAAGGCATCTTTATATTTTATTCCTCTAGCAACTGGATATTAGAAACATCTTTGTGGAATGATATTCTAGCAGTGATGTGTCATTTTGGCAGGTGTTAACTACCACCAAAATATGCCATTATATGTATCATAACTTAAGAGAGCATTGGATCCCCTGGAACTGGAGTTATAGACAGTTGTTAGCTGCCATGTAGGTGCTGGTAACTGAACCCAGGTCACACTTTAGTATGTCACCACTTAATTGTATTTATAGAAACAAACTTTTAATGTATGTGTCTAAGCAGTGACTACCTGCTGCCAGAAGGAAAATGGCTAAGCAAATTCTTTTTCACTTGTTGTCACTGCTGTAATTTTTGGTATAGTTTAGTACAGAGAACTCTCCATGGTTTTAGATTTTAGTTGATGGCACTTACATAGCAAATGTGTTTGTAGTGATATCTCACTTTACTAGCCTGGGATGAGGGAGACAGTATGTATATGAATCAGAAGATAGAGCTGAGATATTTTGTTATCTGTCTTCCTGTCTTCAGGCAGGGTCATATTTAACCCACCTAAATATATCTTCTGGTTGAGCTTCCAGATTACTAAGCTTTCGATCTCCTTGACAACTCATTTCAGCTCTTAAGTAACTGGCTCTAAAGTACACCAGTCAGAAAAAGTTTAATTAATTTATTTTTTTATAAAAAAATTAACTAAGTAATTTGACAGTTGTTTTTAAAGCACCTATTGTGTACCAGCCAAAAATAGGAAGGGCTTGCTAATAAGACCAAAGAGAAGTAGGGGGTAAATTTGTGCCTAATTTAAAGAATAGAAAGTATTCTGGTTTGAAAAGTAATGATGTAATCTTGAAAGCCCATGGCTATGCAGTTCCTTTAAAAAAAATCTATTGGGACAATATATAGTTCATTTTGTTTTTAAAAAATTTTAATTTATTTTTATTTTATGTGTATGAGTATATTGCCTGCATCTATTTAAGAGCACCATGTGCATGAATGCCCACAGAAGCCATAAGAGAGCATTGACTCCCCTGGAACTGGAGTTATAGACAGTTGTTAGCTCCCATGGAAGTGCTGGTAACTGAACCCAGGTCCTCTGCAAAAGTAGCCAGTGCTCTTAACTGCTGAGCCATCTCTCCAGTCCCTAGTCTATTCTCTTGATCAAGAATATAGCAACAGAAAATAGCTATGTTAATTTAAACACTCCTCAGAACCAAAGGTGCTAAGTGAAAACCATAAGAACAATCTTCAAGCCTTCATCAGTCTTATCATTCAGCATTTCAGTCGTTTGATGATGAATACGGTTTTTCTTCTTCATATGTGAGTCCTTTGTGTACTTAGGTGCTTTTGTGTCATGCTGCTATCATATTCTGCCAACCAGAATCCAGCTTTATTGTCTGCTTTGATGTATGTTATATTCAGAATACATCAAGCGAAAACCAAATAAAAAAACCCAAACAAAAAATCAATAGCCAAGTATGGTGCACACAAGTTTAATCCCCATACTTAGGAGGAAGAGGCAGGTGGATCTCTGAGATCCAGCCTGGTCTATATAGTGAGGTCCAGGCTAGCAGGAGCTACAGGGAGACCTTGTCTCAAAAAACCAGAAAAGGGACTGGAGAGAAGGCTCAGCAGTTAAGAGCACTGACTGCTCTTGCAGAGGACCCAGGTTCGATTCCCAGTACCCACATGACAGCTAACAATTATCTGTAACTCCATTTCCAGGGGATCCAGTGCACGGCACAGGTATGCTTACACACTGCACAACATGTGTGCACTCAAAATAAAAATAATAAGTAAAATATTAAAAAATATATAAAACCCCAGAAAAACAGAAACAGAACACATTAAGGAAGAATATACAATTTCAAATTGCTGTGCTTGGTAGTGTTTTGAAGATAATTAATGCTTGTAATTAGGCTTCAGATTTTTGATCTTTCAGTAACTTTACCATAATTATTTTTATTTCTTTATTTTTACTTTTTTCTATTAGCAAAAATACGTTTTTATTAACTTTTGTTTAGCATGTAAAATAATGGGTTTCATATGTGTTATTCTACTTTGTTTGCATTAATTCCTCTCGCCCATTCCCCTCCATTTCCCACCGTCTAGCTAATTTCCTTCCTTTCCCCAGTAAATTCCCCCCATACATGTATTCCATTACTTCTCTGTATTCCATCTCCTTTAAGATCTCTTCTACCTTTCCATGATCCCCTTTCTAGTTTCCTGACCCACAAAAACACATATAGAAGCACACACACACCATTTTAAAACTAGGTTCTATGTATGGAAGAAAACACGAGTATTTGTCCTTCTGAGTCTGGCTTATTCCCTAAATATAATGATTTCCAGTTGCATTCATTTTCCTATACATTTCATAATTTTGTTTTCCTTTATAGATCATGAGACTGTACTGTTTATATGTGCCACATTTTCTTTATTCATCTGTTTGGGTGTTTAGCTTGGTTCCATTTCCTAGCTATTGTGAATAGTATAGCAGCTGTAAACCATAATTATTTTTTATATGTCTGTCTTTGAAAAAACTTGCTTTTGATTGTAGAAATCAAATTTTTCATGACAGCTAATAAGCTGCATTTTGGTTATTTCCAAGCAGCTGCCTGAAGGTGACTGAGCCTGTGGCACCTTATCCTTCTGTCCTCAGACCTTTGCTCCCAGATCACCTCTCACCACTGATGTTTGTTCTTTTGGAACTTTGCCTCACTTCCTTCCTCAAACACTTTTATGGTTGTGTAATAACCCGATATTTTTATACTTGCTATTAATTTTTAAGACCTCAGCATGTCATGAGATATTAAATGCTATAGCTTTCTACTTAGCTCCATAAAAATACTTTATCATTAAATATATGAAATAACCTGCCCAGTGGTTAAGAATACTGGCTGCTCTTGCAGAGGACCCAGATTCATTTCCCAGTACCCATACGGTAGCTCACGCCTATCTGTAACTTCAGTTCCAGGGGCTCTGATGACCTCTTCTGGGACCTCCCTGGGCACACATACATACATGCAGGCAAACCATTCATACACATAAAATAAAAATAAATCTTAAAAAATAAAGAAATAACTTTATGAGGAGTGGTTATTTTATTTGATAATTTAATGGATTCAACAAGAATTTAGTAATTTGTTTTCTTCTAAAATTTGCAAATAACAATTACTTTAAATTTTTTTCTCTCTCTTTTAGACGTTTGAAGATTTTAAAAATGACAAGCAAGCCGTGGAATATCAACAGCGAATTGTGGATATTTTATTGAAAGTAAGCAAAGATTATATGTGTTCTGTTGATACTTAATATTAATTAATTAAAAAGCTTTTTTGGTTTATTTTTATTTTATGTGTATAAGTGCTTTGCTTACATGCATATAAGTGTACCATGTGCATGCAATGGCCATAGAGACCAGAAAAGGATGCTAGATCCCCTGAAACTAGAATAACAGATGGTTGTTAGCTGCCATGTGGGTGTTGGGAACTGAACCCAGGTCCTCCGCAGTGCTCTTAACCACTGAGCTGTTTCTCCAGCCCCAGCTAATTGAATTTTGTATAGCAGAATTTAAAATATTCCATTCAGTGGAGCCATTTGTTATAATCCTGTCTTAGAATTATATTGTAGTGTTTTTGTTCCCAAGAAGCGAACAAAATGTTAATCATTCTTTGAAAAAAGTTACTGTATCATAGCCTTAGACTAGATCCTGGGATACAGGATTCAATTCTTGAGAAATGCTTATTGTGGTAATTACTTTATTAGTATGATTGTAATAATAGATATAACTTTAAGGAAATAATTAATGCCAGCCATCTTCTGTCACTTCCCAGCCTTAGTTGGTTACTATGGTAGTGCCAAGTTTTGCCCTGGCATTCATATGATGGGTGGCACTTAAAAATGATTTGAGATCTATCCTAATCTAACTCTGACTAGAGTCAGTAGACTATTTTAGGATCCATGCTGTTGCTATGGATGCATGCAGAGACAGACTCCTGTCCTCTGTGTCAGCACAGCTTTTCATAGTCTTAGAGTTGTCATTCTGTTCATCTGGCTGTAAAATGGAAATTTCTTCCTTTTAATGACTTTTAGATTAATGACTTTTAGATTACTTTGGACAAGATGCCAGAATTAAAATATCCATTAGTTATGTATAACATCAACATATTACATTTGCAGTAATTCATGGTAATTTTCAGAGCATGCCCCATAGTATATGCACCTTGTAAGATAAGCAGTAAAATAATAGATTTCTAAGTTCTCAAATAAAGCCAGTTTAATCCATGTGGTTAGTGTAAAGAATTTTCATCTAGATCCCTAAATAGTCTACCTGTGTGTGATTTTGCCTTTTTCCTATCTGATATTTTTCTTATAGTTCTTCTCTATTAGATCAGCTGAAATTCAATTATTTTGTGAGAGAAAACTCAAAATGACAGTAGTTTAATTGTGACAGAAATTTGCTTTTCTTATTTAAACCTGGAGGTAGGCAACCTCATCTAGTAGAGAGGCTTCAAAACACTTTATCAGGAATTTAATTTGTCTTTCTGTTGCTATTATGCTTAGTGCATGATTTCTGTCTTTTTGTTCAGTGTGACTGCTCAGGCACCAACTCTACATCTAGCTAGCCTGTATTCAGAATGATACAGAGAAAATGTTTTTTCTCTTTGAGGAAACTTTTTCTAAGTTGTATGCTATAAATCTGCATATATCAGATTTTCCAGAACTTTGATAGATAGAACTTTGCTACTGAGAGAGTTTGAAACATTCTGGTTTGCCATATGCTCAGCTAAAAACTAGGAGTTGTGTTTATACTTTAGGAGGGAAGAATAGATATTCGAGTATCAATTAATGTATTTCTGTTACCAGTTTTGAAGGTTGAAAGTTCAAAACTGGGTACCCTCATCTGTTTGGCTTCTAGTAAGGGTCCCCTTGGCTTTGTCACAACATGGTGAATGGTGTCATGGTGTGAGTGAGTGTGAGAGAAAGGGATCATGTGGGGAGCCAAGAGAGAAGCCAGAGAGATTTGGGTATCAGGCTCATTTTTTTTTATGACAACCCAGCATTAACCTCTTCTCAGAGCAATGTCTGCAGTGACCCCCTAGATCCTACCTATTAAAAGTTCTAATCATTTCCACAAATGGGACCAAGCTTTCAGCACACAGACCTTTGGGGGAATAAACCATATCTAAACCATGATCTAATATAAGTGGTAATTTCTGCCCTACCCATCAAAATTGTTAAGCATGACACTTAGATCCTCTATATTTTCTGCTCCTTGAGTAATCTATAACTGCTCCCTCTCCCATCAGCCTTTGCACCTCCACACATACACCCTCTGCTATATACTCTTCACCATATTAAATTACTAGAATTTACTAAGCTTTCTGTGTCATCCTTGTGGTTTATGTTCGTTGCATGGGTTTTCTTTCAGTCTCTCATGCCTTTTCCTTCCCTTTCTCTGATAGATTCCTGACATTTTCTAAGACTTAATTCCAGTATCATCCATGAAAAACTCTTTTGCACCTTCCCATACACTTGTAGTTGGCTAGTGGTCCTCTGTGTCTACAAAACACTTTATACCACACTTACACATTGTATTACAATTGTTTACAGATTTTCCTCTCTCAACTTGAACTTTCTAAAGGTACAAACCTAGGATTATTATTAGTGATTATATTATATTATTATACTGTATTTATTATACTAATTGGGAGCCATTGTTGTAGCATGCCTAGAGTATGTGTAGTACAGTGCCTGGAACCTAGTAGATGTTTGCTAGTCAAGTGGGAATTTGAATTGAAAACTGTACTAAACTGGAAGGCTGAGCCAAATGCAGAGACTGAAATGAAGCTCTGTAACTCCCTGTGACTGTTAGCGACTTGCTGTTCTTGCATGCTGTCTCGATAATATTTACCTTCAGTCAGGGAAGAATGAACTTAGAGCTGACTTATTTCTGGTGACAGGGTTGTATTACTATGTTGAAAGGAGATAGAATAGGAGAATAAGCAAACGGCAAAGGATAGGCAGATGGGCTTGTTATGTACTGACTAGCTGCACACATGAAGGGAAGAAATGAAATTTGTTACTTTAAGTGATACCTAGGAAATTTAAGTAATACCATAGTCTTCAAAATAGTTCAGAAATAAAAATGGAGAAATCATAGAATGGCAATCAGATATTTGCTGAGTTGGCAAAGGAGTTGGATATGTATTGAAGTTGTTTTTCTAAAAGATGTGTGTAAAGTCAGACAGTTGAGGGGTTTACAGATCAAAAGGAAGAGCTAAAGGCAAAAGGAACCATAGTTGGGTCCCCAGAGTAGAACTCTAGAAAAGGAACCTGCACACTGAGCAGGCGATGACTGAGGGTTTAAAGCCACGGATTTAAAGTCATTTTTACATTTTTCCATACATAGGGATGCTTGTCCTGGCTCCTTGGATCTCGCTATCTGTGCTTCCATTTTCATTATCCTGCTCAGCTGTGGGACTCCTTTGTCTCTCCCTTGGGCCTGTGCAGTCTTGCATGCTGGTCTCTGTCTTCTCTTCCTTCCTACTCATCCCATACATGCAGACAGTCCTGATCACAGTCACCTCTTTTGGATGAGTGTCTCTAGTAGCCTCACAGTTTCCTATATAATATATTCCAGATTCCTTAGGCTGCCATTTAAGGCGTGGTCTCTTTCAGTCTGATTTCTCCTTCCTACTCTATTGCTGCATCCTAGCAGAACTTACGACTTCTCCTGACAGACTCCATCTTTGCTGTCCATTCACACTTTGTGCACTTTTCTCTCTGATGACATTTTCTCTGACAAGTATTCTACACAGACTTCAAAGTTTTAACTTAAAAGCTGGTTTTCTTATTTCCTTACAGAGTCCTTCTCTGTTAATTTTTTTTTGACACTGGGCTTACATAATTATTTGCACCATTATAATGGTAAAATCTAAGCCAGGGAATGGTGCCACCTACAGTGGGCAGGTCTTCCACCACAGTTGATGAATCAAGACAGCCCCCCCCCCCACACCCATGGCATGCCCAGAGACCCATCTCCCAGCTGATTCTAGGTTCTGTCAAGTTGACAATCAATACTTCACCATCACAACTCCCTAAAAGGCACCTGCCATAGCACTTTATACATGGTAGGGACCCAGGACATGAGAGCCAAATTAAACCAGAGGAATGGCTGCAACCTATTATGTATGGTCTTAAGAAGTCCATTACACTAACCACCAGCCACAGAACTGCTTGCAGATAAGGCAGAAACCAGTCACTTCATTAAGGCAGCTGTAACTGACTTCTTTTCTGGTATTCTCTCACTATAAGGTTATTTTACTTTTAAACCCCAAAGCAGCTCTTCTTTTTCTTTGTTGATAGGTAGACCTTAATGAAAATGGACTAAAATAAGATTATTTTAATAATATTCTCTAAGAATGCCAGAGAAAAACATGGTTATTGTTATTTAAAATCTTATACCCCACCTACAAATTCAATTCTCATCATCTGACAAAAATCATGGCAATGTTTTTTTTTAAATTTTTTAAATTGAACTTCTGTATTCTCATACAACAGTTCTCAATCAAACCCAGACCCCCTCCCCCATCCATACCTCTCCCATCCCCATCCCCTCACCAGACCCTATATATTCCACCATATATGGTAAGTCCTATCCAGTCAAGCATTTGTACCCAGATGCCCTTCAGTGCAAATTCATCCACTAGAGCCTAGTCAGTCCATCTAGAGATCATGTACAAGGCATACTCTCTCCTACCCAACAGCAACCAGCCTCCAATAGCTCTCAGTCTAGGACTGGCCCGGCACCCATCTCTCTCTTTTGAATATACAAGTGGTTGTGTTCTTTCTCAAGATGGTACTGGAGTCAGTTTTTGTATAGTCCATAAAAGAATCTTTTTGTGAGTCTTCACTAATGAGGTACTGTACGTGTGTGTGTGTGTGTGTGTGTGTGCATCAAACCACATGGTATATTGGTATATTGAATAAATGGTCCCTTTTACTCACCAGGTTATGGTGGAAAATTCAGATTTTACTCCCTCACAAGTAGGGTGTCTCTTTACCTTCCTTGCTCGGCAGCTTGCAAAGCCTGACAATACCTTGTTTGTGAACAGAACTCTCTTTGATCAGGTAAGTGCCTTTAACAGTGAGAACTGGAGCTGGCTTTCCTCTGTTCAATATTTATAAATAAGTCCATGAAATTATCCTGTTTGTTAATATGACAGAAGATTGGTAAGTGTCTTATCAAGGAAAAACCTGTTCAAATTTTGAATCTGAATTAGGGATATGTGTTGTAATGATGTATTCTGGGTAGTATGATTTTTGCCTGATGGCCTAGGATCATAGGAGCATAGTTTAGAGAGATTCTATTATAGCAGTTACTTGATTACTTTAAATTGCCTAGAATTTCTTGCTCATGAACTTGCTAACTTAAGAAGTATTCTTTCCGCCATGCCTGGTGTCACACACCTTTAATCCAGCACTTGGGAGGCAGAGACAGGCAGATCTTTGTGAGATCGAGGCCAGCCTGGTTTGTATAGTGAGTTCCAGGCCAGCTGGAACTAGAGGGAGACCCTGTTTCAAAAACAAATGAAAGAACTATTCTCTATCACTGGTAGTAAGATCTTGATGATCATCTGGAGAAGAGATTACTTTTGGGAAATCTGAATTTACTTATAAATGACTTTGACCCTCCAGGTATCTCTTAGTCATAGTTGAAAACCTTCCCCCTCTTCATAGGCAGCGTGAAAACGCCTTTTGTCTGGAGTGGGTAGGTAATAATAACTAGCATTTACTGAGCACTTCACAGTGTCAGGTGTTGTTGCAAAGCCTTATATGTACGAACTTAGTTCTCTAGCAGCTTTGAAATTGATTTATTCATCCTCATTTTGCAGATAAAGCCCCAAAATATTAAATAATGCATCCAAAGCTGTACTTAGTGTTATTTTTTAGCAAGAATATTATTATTATGTTGAAGAATTAAGTGCCCTGATTCTGAAGTCCATGCTTCCCAATCTATGACATTAAGGAATTCAAAGTTAAGTTCCTTCCAGTTAATGTTTCTGCACAGTGAAAAAAATATGTATATAGGACACATGCTGAATTGTTAGCATACTTGGAGCCTGATATTTCATGTACTAGACCATCTATTTGGACGATACCATACACGGTGGTATTGGTGACATTGGAATAGTCACAGCTGTTTCCTCTGGCCAGGTCCTTGAGTTCCTCTGTAGCCCTGATGATGACTCCCGCCACTCTGAAAGACAGCAGGTATGAACTACTATAACTCTGATAAAGACTGGGAAGTTTGTTTTAGTTGCTTTTGCTGTTGCTGTGATAAAATATCCTAACCTTAAAGGAGAATGTGTTTATTTTGGCTCACAGTTCCAGGATGCAGTCCATCCTGGCAGGGAAGACTTGTCCACAGAGCTCGAGAGCAGAGACTGACAAATGCTAGTGCTCAGCTAGCTGTGTCCTTTTTATGCCTTCAGGACCCAAGCCCAGAGATGGTGCTTCTCTCCTATACCTCAGTTAGCCTAATCAAGATAATCCCTCACAGATGTGCCTGGGGGCTTGCTTCCTAGGTGACTCCAGATCCTGACCTGTTGACAAGCCATACTACCCATCACTCAAATTCAGAATAAGCCTGAAGGAACTTGTCTGTGCTAGTGCTCCCTACATGTACAGGAAAATTACCCAGACAAACTTTTACTCTAAACTAAAGATAGTGGCCACCAGAAAATAGTGTGGGTAGAGGAACATGTATACAGAGCTTGGTAAAAAATAAATTCCCAGTCACAGTGGAGTTGTCTACATTCACTGTGTTCCAAAGAGAACACTTCATCCTCATTATGCAGCAGTAGTTCCAATCTCCTGTACCACTTCAGCTCCCTGTTGTGGCCCTGAACTAGAAAGGCTACAGGAGCCTGAGTGTTGGCACATTCTATTTTGGAGACTATTCAAAGGCTCCACTGCATTAAGAGCTCTGTTCTGGAGACTAGACTCTATCGGCCCCTCCGTTAATCACTGGGAGGTAGTAATTGGCTACCACTTCCTCAATTTATGTAACTTTGTTGAGGGACTCTTTAAAGGATCATGCACTGTAACTAAGTACTAAGTCAGCCCACTTAATATTGATAGCTAAACTCTATCATGTAATTGAGCTACAAAAAGTAAGAATTCTCAGAGCTGTGCTGACTTTTCCTGGTGGTACATCAGGAGTTTAGGTGGAGCACAAAAGTTGAGACTCCGATGAAAAGCATAGAGCAGCAGCAGGGACCCTCCTTATCTGTACAGCAGTGTCCCAGCCGCTGCGGTGACTGTCTTAGAACGGTACTCGTTTGGGTTAGCTATTAAGATACAGCAAAATACAAATACTAGTGAGGCACTTTTATTTTAACCCTGTTCTCTACAGCAGTGAGGATGGATTATGGTGTGCATGGTGTATCCATATACCCTTTTAATATAAACAGCTACTTTAACAAGACTAAACATTATAGCCAAACTTGAAAAGTAACCAGAGTATATTACTTATATTTATTATGAAAGGTATCCTCTTTCAATTTTGAAATATCAAAAATCAATGAAATAAGTTTAGGGACACAGTTCAGGTTAGGACCTGGCTCTTTCCCTGATAACACAGAGCTCATTCTACTAGTTGCTGTACATCAAAATCTGTTTACACAGTATCTTAGTACTTTCCAGTGGCATGCTGATGGTATAATTGGCTCCCCAAATGTAGTTCTGATATGAATGTTGGCCATTTTCATGTATGTAAATGAATAAGATATAACAGTAGAACATGCCAGAACTTTACTCTTCCATCAGTGAAGTGACTTCTTTGCTGAATCAGATTGTTTATAGTTAGAGTAGAAGATACTAGGTTTAATTATGACATTCTCACACATTGTACTCTGCAGGCACACACACATCCACACATATATTCATTACATTCTCTAGTCACTCTTCACAGATAACAGTTTTAAATAGTGGAAAATAACTGCTCATTTTTTCCCACTTCACAATGTAATGCCTGCAGACATGCACACTTATTTATTTCGTGTGTATAAAAGCATGTACGATAACACGTATGTGGAGGATAGAGGACAGTTTAACAGATTTTGTTCTCTCCTACCATGTGGGTCTCAAAGATTGAATTCAGGTTGTCAGGCATGGTGGCAGGGGCCTTTACTCATGGAGCCATCTTGCTGAACCAGACATACTGTTTTTTCCCCGTTTTTTGGAGACAGGATCTCTCTGTAGCCCCAGCAGGCCTGCCACTTGCTGTATAGAACAGACTGGCTTTGAACTCACAGAGACCCACATGCCTCTCACTCACAAGTACTGAGAATAAAGGTGTGGGTGACCGTGCCCAGCTTGTCTTTGGTTTTTTAAGATGGAGTGTTGCTGTTTTGCCTAGGCTGGCCTAGAATTTCTGTTCCTTCTGCCTCATTCTCTTGAGGCATTGTGTGCACCACAGTGCCTGGGTTAAAGTGCCACTTTTCCCCCCCAGTTTATTATTTATTTAATAACCACATATTTAGAAGAAGCATTTCATTACAACAGCATTGACATATTCAATAACAATTTTCTGAGCTAAGATGCATCTTTTTCAGAATTGGCTATAAATTTTTAGGTTTACAGTTGAATTGTTACAGTTATACAATATTGTACTCAGTATAAACCCTATAAGACATAAATTAAATGATGTCTTAATCTTTAAAAAGATCTCCATTTCATTATTAAAATACACAGTTTCATACAGAAAAATTCATTTTTAATACAATTGACACTAACATGCACATTCGTTTCTTATCTCTATATATCTGATTATTACTAGTCACAGTCGGTTAATTTCTGAGCTCTTTGGCATCTGAGCATGGATATAAAGTCATCAGGTATATTTTAATGGTAATGTTTTTCACATCTACTAATTATTATTTTTTTAAAATTATTTCATAACCAAATGATTAGAAGAGGCATTTCATTACAACAGCATTGACATATTCAATAACAATTTCCAGAGCTAAGATGCTTCTCTTTCAAAATTGGCTGTAAATTATTAGGTTTACAGTTGAATTAATACAGCTATACAATATTGTACTCCATATAAACCCTATAAGATATTTAAAAAATACATTTTTTATTTTGTTGAGGTAAGTCTCATGTAACCCAGATTGATCTCGATCTTGTTATGTAGCTGAGAATGACCTTGAATTCCTGATCTTCCTGTGTGATGCAACTGTAGGCATGTGCCACCATGCGCAGTTTTATGCAATGCTGGAAATGAAACCCAGTGTTTCATGCATGTTAGACAAGCCAAGTAAGCTACATCCCTAGCCCCCAAATATGCCATTTTAAAGTATGTAGCCCAATGGCATGATCTGTGTCTACATTACCATATGATCATCATTACTGTCATCTACAGATTACCTTCCCAGACTCAACCACTTTCACACCAAATGTTAGCTTCATATTCCCTAGCACCTGGCAACCATCATACTGCCTTGTAACTCAATTTCCTGTTCTGTAAGTTCATTCATGCAGCATGTGTCCATTTGTCTTTGACTTGATTTCGTTAGCATAGTGTCTTTAAGGTTCATCCATGTTGCAGCATGTATTCAACATTTCTTCCTTTTAAAAAGCCAAATAATATTTCTCCCTGCTCTCCCTCCCTCCTTCCCCCTCGTCCCTTCCTTCGTGTGTGTGTGTGTGTGTGTGTGTGTGTGTGTTACACTGTTTGCTCATTCATCCCTTGATAGAAATTTGGATTGTTTCTACCTTTTGTATGTTTTGAGAATTGGCTGCTATAAAAAAATTTGCCAGTGTTTAATTTATTAAAATTAGCATGGAAACCTAGATAATACCTGTGGACAATAGTTAAAATAAAAAAAAAAAACCAAACTACAAGACAAAGGACTGGAGAGAAGACTAAGCAATTAAGAGCAAAGAACTGAAAGAAGATAGTGATAAACTTCTGAATGAATTCAGAAAAGAATTAGAAATATTGAAGAATTTTCAGGCTGAAATGAAGAAGGAAGTGAAACACTCAGTAAGCCAATTAGAAACGACAGGAGAAAGCCTCACCAATCAGATGGGTGAAATGGAAAAGAGTATCAAGACTGGAAGATAAAGTGGATGAACTCACCACTCAAGCAAAGATTATGAAAAATTTAAGAAATCACAAGAATGGAATATGCAGGAACTGTGTGACACCATAAAAAGACCAAACTTACGAATCATAGGAATACAGGAAGGAGAAGAATCCCAAGACAATGGCACAGACCAGACATCTTCAAGAAGACTGTAGAAGAAAATTTCCCAAAATTAAAGGAAGACACTCCTATACAAATACAAGAAGCATATAGAACACCAAACAGACAGGACCAGAAAAGAAAGACTCCATGGCACATCAAAGTATAAACGTACAGAACAAAGAGACAATACTGAAAGCTGCAAAAGAACAACATGTCACATATAAAGGAAAACCCATCAGAATTACAGCTGACTTTTCAGTGCAAACTATGAAAGCCAGAAGAGCCTGGACCAAAGTATTCCCACTTCTAAATGACCACAGATGCCAACCCAGATTACTTTATCCAGCCAAAATGTCTATTATAGTCAGAGGGGGAAAGAAAAATCTTCCATGACATAAATAGGCTGAAAGAGTTCATGTCCACAAAACCAGCCCTTCAGAGAGTTCTGGAAGCAACAAAGAGCTGAAGAAAGGAATGACTATACCCAAGGGATTGCAGAAAGAAATTTAATGAAGGTATAACTGTGGAAATGCACAGCTATACCAAGAATGTGAAAAGAAATAGAAATAACAGGATTCAATGCACATCTTTCATCAATAACTTTAATATCAATGGACTGAACTCCCCAGTCAAAAGACACAGACTAGTTGAATGGATTAAAAAAAACAAATCCCATCTTTTTGTTGTCTGCAAGAAACTCATCTCACTTTCAAGGATAGGCATTACTAAGGTGAAAGGATGGAAAAAAAAATATATACCAAGCAAATGGTACAAGAAAAAAAGCAGGCATTGCAATTCTAGTATCTGATAAAATAGACTTTAAATTAAAACTAATCAGAAGCGATAAAGAGGGCCACTTTATTCTGATCAAAGGAACAATAGATCAAGAAGATATTACAATCATAAACATATATTCACCAAACTCTGGTGCACCCATCTTCATAAAAACAATACTATAGGACTTTAAGACCCAGATCAATCCCAACTTATTAATAGTAGGGGACTTCAATACCC